CCCCCAAGGCTCCTCACAGGAGAATCCTGGGGGTCTGCTCCCATAAAGATGGCGGCTGGGAAACCACGGGGCCGTCCTGTCACACGGGGTCGCCGGGGGTCAGGGCCATTCCATGGTCACATGGGGTCACTGGGGTCAGGGCCACTTCACAGTCACACGGGGTTGCCGGGGGTCAGGGCCATCCTGTCACATGGGGTCGTGGGGGTCAGGGCCACTCCACGGTCACCCGGGGTCGCTGGGGGTCAGGGCCGCCTCATGGTCACCCGGGGTCGCTGGGCATCAGGGCCGCCTCATGGTCACCCGGGGTCGCTGGGGGTCAGGGCCGCCTCACGGTCACCCAGGGTCGCTGGGGGTCAGGGCCACTCCACAGTCACCCGGAGTCGCTGGGAGTCAGGGCCGCCTCACGGTCACGCGGGGTCGCCGGGGGTCAGGGCCGCCTCACGGTCACCCGGGGTCGCTGGGCATCAGGGCCACCTCATGGTCACGCGGGGTCGCTGGGGGTCAGGCCGCTCCGTGTCAGTGAGTTTGGTTGGCCGGTCCTGTGTCGGCCCTATGCAGAGTGATGAGGTTCTAGGTGAATGGACTCCACCCAGCCAAGAAGCAGCTGGAAGTGAGAGGGGAGGCGGACTGGGTGCAGATAGGGGCCCTGGGGAGGGGGGAGTGCCGCACGGCGTCAGGGTGCGGGCCTGGGGCTCAGGGAGCCTTCACATTGGAGAAGGTGAGTGGGCGGCGTCCATAGACAGAGACTAGAGTTTCCACACGGGGCACCGGCAGAGGAGGGGTGGGCCAGTTCTGAGGAGCCTAGGAGGGTCTGATCCGCCAACTGGCCCATTAACAGCCCATCACAAGCCCCTTGTTCCACCCAGGCTCCTGCTTGATGCACAGTAGATGCTTAATAAATTATAGGAGTTTTAAAAGTAATTTATTTTTTAAATGATTTATTCTATTTTTGTGGTTGAGAATACACAGCAGGGAGACGCCAGTTCAGCCGTTTCCCCACAGACGGTTCCGCCGGGCACCCACGCTCCCCCTCCTTTCCTGAGCTGCCCTCCCTGTTGACACCCTCCCTGCCCCCAAACTTCCTGGCTCATCTTCCCAGTTGTTGTCACTCTGACCCACAAAGACAGGTCTCGAGGGAGCGAGGGAGTGCAGCGCTCAAGGCAGACCTTCTGCAGTTAAACTGAACCTTTGTTTGGCTTTAGGGAGATTCCGGGGGATGGTTTGGGTTTATGATTCGAGGTTTAAAGACGGTCTCGGAGCAGTCGTTTCAGGGCTTGTCCAGCCTCCACGTCTCCAGAGAGTCTGCAGTCCATGAGAATTTGAAATTCTGTTCTGCAGTTCCCCCCTTGTGATCTGGATTCTTCTATGACTAAAGGGTTTTGATGGAGAAACAACGAGATGGGCAGATTGCATTTTAAAGCAGCCAAAGATGAGTGAAAGAAGTGAGAGAGCCCCACCACTGAGACTAAAACCCGGCTCTCAGGTGTCCTTACTGGGTGCGCTGGAGTTAAGAGGCCTTGCACTCGCCAGCTCACGTGTGGCCCTGCTTTCTTACAAGAAACTAGTCACAGCAGAAAAGAAACTGAAAGTTGCTACATGCAGCAAAACAGCTGTGGTTCCTGAGACCTGCTGCCAGCCCTCACCTTCCTGCTGAGTCATTTCCTTACTGGAGAAATTAATTTGAGGAAGGGGGAGAAGCTAGCTACTCCACACCCTCGAGAGGATGGCTGAGGGACTGCAGTGTGGCCAGTGCTTGCTTGGTAGGCGACCAGGGACTGAGGGCGAAAGGTGGTCGGATAACGGGCTGCTCGCAGGACCCCACCTGTGGGCGTGTGGACACGTCCTCCCGCTCCTCCGGGTGGGGGGCTAACTTGAGGCAGACAGAACCTTTATGGACGGGCCCAGGAGGATTTACTAGAAGGACAGTGGTAGCAAACCTGTGACTTAAATAACTTCAACATGCAGTCCACTATGTGTTGGCCCTGAGCTCGGCACGTGCAGGTGCAGACGGTCCCCACGGGGCCCACACCCTGGTTTGGGGATGCACAAGCAGCCATGTGGTGAAAGCAGTGATTTCACAGTAAACTAGTTGTCTTCAGGCTCTGACTGCGAGCGTCCCCACTGTCAGAGCACAACAGCTCCACAGGCTTCCAGGGGCCGTGCTGCTGCAAGGAGACCTTTCTTCCGAGGTGCTTTCGGGTGGACTGGAGCCTCCAGGGTTCGGCTGGCAGCTGAGCACGAAAATTAACAATCACGAGTCTGATTGACCAAACGTTAGCTGAATGTGCCAGCTCCGTGCTTCCGTGGGGGCCGCACCGGCCTCGTGAGGTGGGCTTTCCCGATCCCCATTTTGCAGGTGAGAGAAACTCCCAGCAGTCAGGTGGCTTGTCCAAGGTCACAAAGCAAGGGAGGGCAGCAGGGGGTCTCTGAAGGCCACCTCATGCTTGTCACAGGAGACCTAGGAGGGACCCCCCACCTCCCAGACATCGCTTTGGTTCTAGTAAGGAGTCTGCCCGGTGGGCAGGCAGCCCCCAGCTGGGAAATCGTCCTGCCATGTTATGGTGCCCAGGGCCACACCGCTGCACCAATAAGCAACATCACCGTAAATGCAAACAACGCTGGTGTTGTCAAAGGGTACTTTTACTTGGGCCCACAGTCAACGGCATGGAAACATCAGCCAGGAGGTGAAACAACGAATCGCCGTGAGCACATCAGCTGCCAAAGGCCCCTTTCCAGTGCTGAAGCGCAAGGCCGTCTCCCTGAGGACTGAGGTGCGCCTGACCCGAGCTGCGGGATTCTCAGTCACCACATCTGCATGTAAAAGCTGGACAAGGAATAGGGAGGGCCAAAAGAGTGATGTATTTGTACCACGGAGTGGGCAAAGAGTACTGAATATGCCTTAGAGGGCCAGAAAAATGGGCACATTTGGGAAGAAGTACAGCCAGGATGCTCCTTAGAAGTGAGCATGGCGAGAGTTCACCTCGCGTCCTTTGGACATGTTCCCAGGAGGGACCAGTCCGCGGAGAAGGGCTGACGCGTGGCTGCAGCGCTGGACTGAAGCGGTCAAGGACAGGCGGGTCGGCGCAGGGCCGGCCAGCGTTCCGGTCTGTGGTACGTGGGCCGCTTGTCAGTTGGAGGACTTAACAACAACAGTGCTACCAGTTTCCAACCGTTAATCTGAGCTGGAGATGGGACGTCCTTCTGCCAACAGCGGCAGCTTGTGCGGGCCACACAGATGAGCGCTTAGGAAGGCAAGACCCGTTGGCGTGAATTACGACAATTCAAAAACGGCCGAGATCAGAGGCATTGCAAGTTAGACATCCTCGCCTCGAACATTTTGCTGAATCCCCGCCGGCCCTAACCATCCTCCTGGACTGGACAGACAGTAAGAGATGAGGCGGTTAAGTGACTGGGAAACCCTTAGTCACGTCGTGAGCTATGAGTCTGGGACATAATTACAGAGGAATGAGTGAAAAGACATTCAAGGGTGTTGGGGATCTGGGGGTGGTGGCCATACCCTGCTTCTTCACGGGGAGTGTCCAGTGGTCCCTGTGTGCCCTTCACCATGACCCCCACCACTGAAGGCAGGGGTTGGAAGGTCCCTTTCCGACGCCTTGGGCATATTGCCCTGCGCCTCTCTCCCAGGGGACACGAGGTGCTGTGAGGTCTGTTTTACAGCAGGGAAGCCCGTAAGCCTCAGAGGCAGCTGGGTATTCAAACCTCAACCACAACAACTACGACAAAACTCTAGAGGCATTTTGGGGACATTTGTGAATTTCTTCTAATAAAGGAGGGAACTAACTGCGGAATCTTTGACATAACGTGATCTATGAAAGCAAAGCAAAAGCTTACAAGCTAAGGAAGTGGTGTGCGACGTCTGGCCGAGCCCAGGATCCAATCACTTACATGCCTTGGAGCCTCTCTTCAGAGCCTCAAAGCCCTTCCCATGGTGACAGCCATAGGTCCGCAGGAGACGAGAAGACCATACAGGGTCTCTTTGCTTCTACAAACAAGCATTCAAAACCAAAATCCAATCTCACTGCCATAGAGTGGATTCCGACTCATAGTGACCCCATTAGGTTTCCGAGGCTGTAACTGTTACAGAAGTAGGTTGCCCATTGTCCTTCCGTGGGGCGGCGGGTGGGTTTGAACCTCCGAGCTTCTGGTTAGCAGCCAAAAAAGCATGTTGTTGTTGTTGTTATGTGCCGTTGAGTCCGACCCAACTCATAGCGACCCCTCCTTGGGTTTCTGAGGTGGTATCACTACAGAAGCAGATTGCCCAACCTTCCTTCCGGGGAGTGGCTGGTGGGTTTGAACCGCCAGACTCCTGGTTAGCAGTCAAGTGCCTTAGTCACTGCGCTACCAGAGCTCCCCAAAGAAGCATAGAAAATGAGAGTGATTGCCAAGCACCACGCCAGTCAGAGAAACATCAGCTCTGCAGCCTTCCTGGCCATGACGGCCCTCTCAGGTCAGAGTTCCTCGGACTGCAGGAGCCGTGGCCAGAGGGCTGTCACCTCCGCCCTTTAATGGGCACTGTCCCTGTGTGGAAGGTGGCTCTGGTGGGATGTGCAGTGCTCCTTCCCAGTGTGAGACAGCAGAGAGGAACTCTCCTAAGCACAGTCTGTCACCACACCTGCAGTTGTTCCTGCCGGCAGCTTTGTCTTGGTCGGCCCCCTCCTCCAGAGTCCCAGAATAACTGCTGTTTGTATCGAGATGCCGAGAGGGTCTCTGGAGAGAGGCGGAGGAGGCAGGGCTGGCCTCAGGTGTACGAGTCCCTGAGCTCACACCCCTGGGGCTCTGCTCCTCGGCGGCCCCGCAGAGTGTTGAGGGCCTTCCTGTAGGAGTAGTGGAAGGTGGGGTTGGAGAAGCAGTAGACCAAGGGGTTGAGGACGCTGTTCAGGTAGCTGAGGCTGCTGGCTACGTCCGAGGTGTGCTCCACCACCCACAGCATCCGGCAGCTGCCTGACCTCCGGAAGGCGTCCGTCAGGATCCTGGCCAGACAGCTGGGCAAGAAGCACAGCGCGAAGAGGACCACCACCAAGGTGACCAAGGCCTTGGCTCTCCGCAGCTTTGGCTGCTTCTCTGGGTCTCGGATCCTGTTCTGGAGCGTTCTGATGAGCCCAACGTTGCAAAACAGGATGAGGCCAAAGGGGAGAGAAAACTGCAGGAAAAAGAGGACCTCCTGCCAAATGGCACCCCAGGAGAAGTCCTCCCCGGGCTGGGAGCTGCGGCATTCCGTGGAGTTCCCGGAAGCCTCGCTGCCAAACAAGCTCTGGTGAGTGACAGCCATCATCAGAAGCCAGACACAGACAGAGACTGCCCGGGCCCACCGAGGCGAGAGGACGTTGACCTTGAGCCGGGGGTGGACCACTCGGAAGTAGCGATCCAAGGCCACAGCCGTGAGGAAGGCGACCCCCACCCCACGGCTGAGGGACAGCAGGAAGAGCAGGGCTTGGCAGGACCCGCGGCCCAAGCTCCACGTCTTGTGTCGCAGGTAGAAGGCAATTTGGAAGGGCAGGCAGAGGGTCAGCAGGAGGTCAGCGATGACCAGGTTAAACAGGTAGACCGCGTACGGCTTCCACACCTTCAGGCGGAAGAAGAAGGTCCACAGGGCGACGGTGTTGCCCAGCAGGCCCAGCCCAAACTCTAGCATCAGCAGCGTGGCCACCGATATTTCCATCGCGGCGCTGTGCACGGAGCAGTTGGGGGCCGTCATGTCTCATGTGCTCTGCTCCTGGACACGACTGTAAAGGCGCCCCGTGTGCAGAGAGGGACCGTTTAGAGCTGCTCTTTCCCACACAAGGAAAGGAGTCTCCCAGCGACCGTCACACGTTCTGCGTTTCCTCCAAGACAGGAGACACTGAGCCAGCATCAGGAAACACTCACAAGCCAATGAAAACATGTTTGGGAAAGAGGATTAGGGGAAGCAAACCAAAACAAACCTTGCAGTTTTATTTTCTTTTGGCTTGCACTGAAAAAGGGCGAAGTGTTTCAGTTCCTGTCCTCGGTCTGAGGTTGATGCCACCATGTTGTGAGACTGTCTCGGCCAAGGAGGCTGTGTTTGCAGCTGCTGAAAAGAAACTTGAGACTCCCCATGACACAAACGCTTCCTCTAACCAAAAACCAGACTCACTGCCGTCGAGTTGATTCGACTCACAGCGACCCGTCCTTGGGTTTCCAAGGCGGTATCTCTACGGAAGTAGATTGCCCAGTCTTCCTTCTGAGAGTGGCTGGTGGGTTTGAAGCGCCAGACTTCTGGTTAGCAGTCAAATGCCTCAGGCACTATGCTACCAGAGCCCCTCAATGCTCTCTGGGCCTCTAGAAAGATAGCGGTGGGAACCAAGAAATGCCCCTGGACTTGAGTCTGTCCCATGAGGACGCTTTCTTCTTCCTTTGTGTGAATAAGGACATTGGCCCAGCTCCCTCTGCAGGCGGCTCGACTGTGCACCGAGTATCAGAGCGGTTCCTGTTTACGTGGGAATTCACCAGAAATAGCATGGAGCAGCCTGGCCATCCCTCGGATGGCTCTGGGCCCTCCCCCTATGGTTTCACAGCCTGTATTTCTGTTGCGGGGTCTTCCCTTATCCTGCACCTGGTCCAGGTTCTTTGCCCTTGGGAATAGGCCTGGCCCCTGAAGCCATTAGCAAAATCAAGAGGTGGCCCAGATGCACAGAAACGTCTAGAACATGAGGTCCCTGAGGCCAGGGACGTGCCGACTCTCTAGTGCCACAGCACTGGCTGGCCCAGGTGGGCGCTCGAGGAACGAGTTGGTGGCTTGGATGCTGTGGGCCTGGGTCAGACTGTGCTCAGCGTGGCTGGGCTCTGCAGTCCAGGGCGCTTGAGTCCTCAGTCTCACTTCTCCATGGGTCAGCAGAGTGGGTTTCAGAAAGGAACTTAACTCTGGGAGTGCCAGCTTCCTCCTCTCTGAAGTGGGTGTGGGAAGACCCTCCCCAGGGCACGGTGAGCGTCTGAGACACCACGTGGAGCTCTTGCCACCAGGTGGGGACATTGAGGGGTTTGGTGCGTATCCTGCTGTAGCTGAGACGTGATGCTCAGGCTTCTAAACACTCTCTCCCGTCTCTCCTGATGTGACAGGGAGAGTGCGTGTACATTAGTGTCACCCTGCTGGGTGTGCCCGGTGGGTGTGTGCTCTCCTCCATGGATGAAACAATGGGGCACTGAGAGGCCAGAGCATTCACTCAAGGTCACGAGGCTACGAAGTGGGGAGACCAGGCTCCGGGCCCTGCTTTGGCTGCAGCCCCAGGGCAACCCCGCTAATGAGACTCGGGTCCACTCCCCTGTCGGTGGACCCACCTCGTCAGAGCCCACCAAGACGACCGGAGGTCAGAAGTAGGTCTCCTGGGCTTTCTTCTAAGGCACCACCACGCACTCCTGTCTGGGCCTATTCCCCAAGCTAAGACCTGGAAGCCCTCACTCCTGTTGTCTAGATTCACCTCTGGCCCCTGGGAGGTCGAGCCCTGGGAATGGAATCCTGGTCATTTCCAGGGAAAATGAAATGATTTTAGAAAAAGGATGAGAGGAGATAGACCTAGTACACCACGAGGGAGGTCAGAGCTCAAAGCCACTGTCCTGGGTGACCATGGTGCAGGTCAGAGCTTGTTATCATGGTCCTGGGTGACCATGTGGGTGGTTAGAGGTCACCCACAGCCCTGAGTGACCACGTATGAGGTCAGAGCTCACCACCACCGTCCTAGGTGATCATCTGGGAGGTCAGGGCTCACAGCCACAGCCCTGGGTGACCACATGTGAGGTCAGAGCTCACGGCCACAGTCCTGGAACCACGTGTGAGGTCAGAGCTCACAGCTAGGGTCCTGGGTGACCATGTGGGAGGTCAGATCTCACAGCCATGCCCCTGAGTGACCACGTGTGAGGCCAGAGCTCCTGGCCACAGTCCTAGGTGACCATGTGGGAGGTCAGAGCTCACAGCCATAGCCCTGGGTGACCACATGTGAGGTCAGAGCTCACAGCTATGGCCGTGGGTGAGCATCTGGGAGGCTAGAGCTCACCATCAGGGCCCTGGGAGACCATGTGTGAGGTTAGCACTCACAGCCATGGTCTTAGGTGACCATCTGGGAGGTCAGAGCTCACAGCCACGGCCCTGGGTGACCACATGTGAGGTCAGAGCTCACAGCTACGGCCATGGGTGAGCATCTGGGAGGCTAGAGCTCACCATCAGGGCCTGGGAGACCATGTATGAGGTTAGCACGCACAGCCATGGTCCTAGGTGACCATCTGGGAGGTCAGAGCTCACAGCCACGGCCCTGGGTGATCATGTGTGAGGCCAGAGCTCATGGCCACAGTCCTGGGTGACCATGTGGCTGGTCAGGGCTCACAGCCACGGCCCTGGGTGATCATGTGTGAGGTCAGAACTCACAGCCACGGCCCTGGGTGATCATGTGTGAGGTCAGAGCTCATGGCCACAGTCCTAGGTGACCATCTGGCTGGTCAGAGCTCACAGCCATGGGAGCCACGGTCCTGGGTTCCTGTTTGAAGTAAGATTTGATGAAAACGAGTTTTAGTGATCTCAGAATACGCCCACAATGTGGGTACAGTCGCAGGAAAGGCTTCCTGATGCAATCTGCAATTTCTTGTATGAGGAATGATTTTGAACAGAATTCTACTGTTGAGCAAAACTGAAAAAACCCTGCAAACTAAACCTTAAGTTGACTAACTCTGTGGGGGTTCCAACACTATGTTTAAATGTAAAATATCTGAAGATGTTTCCTTTTTTTTTTTTTTTAAACTTGCCTTATTTTCCTTCCATGTTTTCAATACAGGGTGGAGATTAGACACAGAGTTTCAAACTCAGAATGATGGAAAACCCCTAAATGTGTTTTCCAAAGTGGACGCTCCACAGGAAGAGGTGGACAGAATTAAAACTGAGGCCTACATCACTGCACGGCATGGCTGGCCTTTAACAGGTGTCTTTCTTTTCTTTCTTTTTTTTTTCTGGTTCAACAGCTCTTATATATGCAGTCCAATGACAAAGACTACATCGTGTTACCATTTTCACTATGTTTAGGGTTCTGTTGTCAATTTGATGTCATATGTTGTTGCTGTTGTTATGTGCTGTCGAGTTGGACCTGACTCATAGTGACCCCGCGTTGGGTTTCCGAGGCGATATCACTACGGAAGTAGATTTCCCCATCTTCCTTCCGAGGAGTGGCTGATGGGTTTGAACCGCCAGCCTTCTGGTTAGCAGCTGAGTGCCTTTAGCCACTATGCTACCAGAGCTCCCTTGATGTCATATAGATAACTATTTTTCATTTTCTTCTTCTTTTTTTTTTTTAAATTGTGATTTGGGTGAAAGTTTACAGAGCTAATTCACTTTCCATACAGCACTTCCCATACACTTTGTCTCATGACATTGTCTACAATTTATCCTAATGCAACAGCTCCCCTCCCACTTCCTCCCCATAGTTACCTCTTCCCTGTTCCCATCCCTCCATACTCTCCTGTGCCCTGGGCTGTCTCCCTGTGCATAAGCAGCCCTTCTTTCTCCCATGATTGTTCTCTCCAAGGAGTGTATCTACCTGAGGTAAATGTTCAACTCATATGCCTGTCTTTTGTTTGGCTGAAAGCCACAGGTGTGGGTTCAATTCCAGACCTGAAGGGCAGCTAGGGGCCATAGTCTCAGTGGTTCCATCAGGCTCTATCAGGCCAGCAAACCTGGTCCCTTTTTTTTTTCCCAAAAATTATTTTAGTTTTGTTCCACATTGTTCTCCCACTTTATCCAGGATCTCCTACATAGATCCCCCTCCGAGTGGTTGACAGTGGTAGCCAGGCACCACCTAGTTCTTCTGGTCTCATAGTCATATAGGTTGTGGATCACATGGTGTACCAGTCACTTGGACTAATTGTTTCCATGAATCTTTGGTTTTCTTCATTCTTCTTTGCTCTGGACAAGGAGAGACCCATTGATCCGTCAAGATGGCAGCTTGCTAGCTTTTAAGATCTCAGTCGCTACTCGCCAAAGTAGGAGGTGGAACAATGTTTTGTGTAGCATGTTATGCCAATTGAGCTTGATGTCCCCTGCGACTATGGTCCTGAGCCCGCAGGTTCAACTACTCGGTCCCTCTGGGTAGCTGGCTGTGACCAAGCAGTGACTACAACCTTGTCCCTTGTCAGCTCTACTGTACACCTGGGAATTCAAATCATACAAATACACTTATAGGAACATTGTCTGCCAACCCTATACATGGTCTTGGGTACACTCTCCACTTCATAGACATAACTAATAGTTCAGCCTGTCCACCCATCTATCCACCCGTATACCCATGTTTGCCTTCAGTGACAATACAGTATTGTATGTGCAAAAGGGTTCATCTTTGTTGTCTGTTCCTCCCATGTACTTCTCTCTGTCTTCCTCTTCCTCAGTGCCACCTTGTTGATCACTCACATTTGGTACATTGCCCTTCTCTTCACCCAAATCAATACTTATCTCTATCTATCTAACAGTGTTCCTTCCCCTCCCCTCCCACTCCTGGTAACCAACAAAGAAAATTTCCTTCTATATATAAAACTCTCCTTGACTTTTACAATAGCAGACTAATACAATATTTGTCCTCCTGTGATTGACTTATTTCACTCAGCATAATGTCCTCCAAGTTCATCTATGTTATATGGTGTTTTGCAGATTCTAGGTCATTCTTTAGGGTT